CCCGTGTCGTTTGGCGCGTCTGGAGTTGCGCAACGCACGCGCGTGTCGCGCAGCACTACACGTGAGTGTTGCTGCCGTTACGCCCCTGCTGCCCGCCTTTCTCCGGACGGACGCACGGGCGGACGGACGGACGGGGCGACTGGCTGGCTAAAGGCCAAGGCGGGGCCCCAGACATCGTAATGGTCGCAGAGACCCACACTACGCCACGCCACGCCCTGCTGTCCGTCCCAATGCCATAGCGTGTCCGGCCATTTCCATACGAAGCGAAAGTAAACAAACCGAAGAGAGGAGGAGGAGGAAGGAGAAGGCAGCAAGAGGCGGCGGCGGCCAGCAGCGTGCCTTCACCCAGTCCAGGCCGTGGGAGGTGGAGGGGGCAGGGAGCACCTGTTGGCGCAAGTTCAAGGGCGACCGATCCCCATCCCATCCCATGCCGCGTTCTTGCCAGCCAACTGCTCGTGTCCGTACCGCGATACCGGAAAAGGTTGAGGGGAAACTTTTGCGTCCTAATAATCTTACAACGTGCCTGGAGTATTGTTGAAAATGTCATGCGCGCATTTTGTGCTTTCACGATCTGTAATGCGGGCTTCATTCGTATTCCTTTTTTTTCGGGGGTGAAAGTGATTATTCTTATGTTGCCAGATGGCCCAACCATTCGCTCGGAGCGGAATTGTTTTTGGTTTTACTTCTTTTTACCCTCTATTGCGAAATCATTTTCCTTGATTACTTTTCGGCTGGCTGGCGGGTGAGTGATGGGCGATACGGGGTCTTGTTCCCGAAAGTGATCCCCTCTGCCGCGTGGCCTCTCTCCATCTCTCCTTCATCCTCTCTCCCTTTCTCTCTGCAGCTACAGCAGCAGCTGCCGCGAGAGGGAATTACATTCCACCTGCGTCCGGCCGTTCGGCCAGTACAGCAACTCGTTTCTTTTTGTTATTTGTATCTCTCTCTTTTCTCTCTGACCGCAGCAGGAGCGCTCAAACGACGCGCGCACCGGTATGGCTCGCTCCGCGCACGCGCGCCAAAATAATTTTGTTCAAACGAAAAAAAAGGGGGCCCAACCGAGAGAAAATTAAATACTCTGCTAATCCAAGTGCAGAAGTGTTTGCCACTTGTAACTGTAAAACTCTTGAGTTCTGCACTAAGAAGTCAATATTGCTTCTGGTTGCTACCTCTGCAGAGCAATCTTATTTTGAGTCATACCATCGTCTTCAGCGTGAAATTTCGAATCAAACGAGCCTACATGTGATGGGGGTCTGATCCACGGTTCACGGCTCTAAGAATGTGCACAATGTCAGTAGTTTTCGATCAGACCCCCATCACATGTAGCCTCGTTTGATTCGAAATTTCACGCTGAAGACGATGGTATGACTCAAAATAAGATTGCTCTGCAGAGGTAGTAACCAGAAGCAATATTGACTTCTTAGTGCAGAACTCAAGAGTTTTACAGTTACAAGTGGCAAACACTTCTGCACTTGGATTAGCAGAGTATTCATGCTCAAGGGCGTGTACTCGGGCAAGTGTGTGAATGTCTCCCGGAATGTCTCACACTTGGAGGAATGTGAATTTCTTCTTTAGGACAAGTTTACAATTTTTACTGGAAAATGCACTTTTTTACAGGTCCAACTGTGCGAACGGAAATTTCTTTCACCTGCAAGTGTGTGACAGTCATGCTCTTTAGGGTGTTTAGTGTGTGTTTTGTTTTTGCCGTGCAGTGATGTGGCGCGGGGCGCGTGCGGTGTTGAATCACGACGAGGCGATGAATACAAGTGATGACTCCACGATTTCCTCTCCTGCCGTTTTGCGTACACAGTCGCGGCGGCGGCCGTTGCGCAGGGGAGAGATAATCTAGAGTATGAGAGGGGCAGCTTGCAGCAGGTGGAAGGGGGGACGGGGAGGGGAGGTGCTGCACCGGCCTTACCTTGTTAACTTGGAATGCGGAGTGAAAGTGGCAGCGGCTCGGCGTCCGGTCCAACGCCCCTCTCCGACGCGCCCCCCCCCGCCCCGCCCCCCACACCTTGCCCTGCCGCGCCGCGCCCGCCGTGGATACTCACTCGAGGGTCAGTGGCAGCCGCCGACCGTTTAGTTGTTGCTGCTCCTGCTGATGTTGTTTGTCAGATGTGGACCGGCATCTATATTCATCCTCTCTCTACTGTCGGGAGCAGCAGGGCCTGACTGGCGGGGCCTGGCGAAGGAGTGGCAGCACCTGTTTCTCGTATGGGAAGACCCCGGGGAGAGAGAGAGGGAGAGGGGAGGGGGGGGTCACCTCTCTCGTGAAAGGAAAGTCTCGATGAGTGAAGTTAATGCTTTGAAACGGGTGGCTCTCCCCAGTAACAGGAACTTGTCGATCGACTGTCGACGAGCTGCTGACAAATTGTAACGACCCCGTGCCAGACATGCAAACGTTTATGTTTGATCATCAACGTGGCAAAAGCCAGGGTTTGGTTTTCAAGCAGTATATTACGCGCTCGAGGCAGAGCACGACAGCAGCTAAAAGAAGGAATGGGATGCTCTTTGTAGAAACCGGAACCGGAGCAAACTGCTTGGTAAAGTCACATGAACAATTGTAGGATATTTTAAAGTTTGCACTGCGTGATTTGAGTTTCCTGAGCAGGTTATTTTATTATTTTTTCGGGAGTGACAGAAACTGGAGTTTGTAGCCGCGTTTTTATGCAGGGAGATAGGAGAAGACTGTGTGAGATTAAGTAGAGAGAGAAGAGGAGAGGGGACTGGGCGCTCGCCACCTGCTGCTTCTGCGAGGCGGAGGCGAGTGCGTGCGTGTGCGCGTGCTCGAGCTATCCCAGTCACCCCAGCGGAACAAATTGGCCCAATAGTAGTAAAGTGTTTGAAACATGTGCGGAAAGGAGAAAGAGAGGCCGTGCTCCCAGGAAAGGAAAGGAGTTTTTGCTCTTAACTCGCGGAGAAACTTTCGGATGAGCTTAGCCTCGCGCCATCCTCTTATTGCAAGACGACCTCCGCTTTGTCATCCCTTTTTCCGCCTGCTTACTCACATAAATTAGGTACATATGATTCATATCCTTGTATTCTTTTTCTAATAAATTTTCTTCGACCATTCTCCCACCAGATAATTACTCGTGCGGTTATGTTTTTTATATGCATGAGCATTTTGTCCTTCTTTAGACTGAATGAGTAATTTTGATCTATTTAGCGGGACAGCTGGGGCGGCGCAGGGCAGTGCAGGGTGGGGCGTGGCAGTGCGGGGTACGCCGCGGCGCGCTCTGAGGCGCGCCTCCTCCTGCGGTCCGTGTGCGCCGCGCTGCACCTCACGCCTTGCTCCTGCACGCGAGCGCAGAGAGAGAGAGAGAGAGGGGGAGAGAGAGAGAGAGAGACGGAGCCACACGCATTGTGCGCGGCCATACCTAGCCTAATTAGGTTCTCCTTATGGCTGGCCCGGCCCGCCCCCCTTTTCCCATCGCCGCAGCCGCAGCGCGCACTACCGATACCCTGCCATTATATTGTTGGCTCCGAGCAATTAGATGCGCGAAATAATATCATCACAACTACAGCAGCAGCAAGAGCCAGAACCCGCCGGCGCCGGCACCGGCACCGGGTGGTGAAAACGAAGCCGCGCTCTCTTGCAAAGCCCTTTGAGCTGCCGGCACTAAGTACAACGGCTTGCTGCTGAAGAGGGGCGGGCGCGGGGTTCCGCCCACGAGCAGCGTGTCCGCTTGCCTGCCTCCCCCCACGGAATATTCACACGCCGCGTTTGAATTTTTGGCGTGTTTTATTGTCTGGCCGAACTTTCCATCGGGCTCTGCTGTGGCGAGCGCCTGCAGGGTGGGCAGTCCCGCCCGGCGCCCGCGCTCCATGGGACTGCCTGCTTACCAGGCGCTCCGGCTGGCCTATCTCTCTCTCTCCTCGTGGGCTGGAGCAAGCAACTACACTTTAAATTCGGGCGGTCACCTACGGGCAGGATGGGAGGGTTATAAAATCACGCAAAACTGGTGGGATATAGCAGATCCCGAAGGTGTCCGGATGGTGGCTAACTTCGGTGGTCCCGTTTTGGGGTTCCAGTCACTTAGAGAAATCGTTGCTTAGAAAACACGTTCGTCATTTGACGTTGCGAACCTACCAAGTTCAGTCATTGCAAGCTCTCATAATAGCGCCTTGTAGTTAGGCAACATCTCGCCTGCAGTGCAGGCGTGTACTGCGGTGTGGCCTACCCCGAGTCTCGCAGGCGCTTAGGCGCCGAGCTCTCTGCTCATATCATTTGCCGTCGTCATTTGCCGAACGAATCGCGATTTACTATGTGGAATCGGAAAAGATCCTCCACAACTCGACACTTTCTTTCTACGATTTAGTTTTGCTTTACACCAAAAGCCCTTAAGCCCGGCTCAGTCGGGCTGGCGGCGGCGGTGGTGCATCAAGCGAGTCGCTTTCACGGCGGCGGCGGGCGACGGCCAGCCCCCGGGGACTGGTGCGGGAACAAATCTCCTTATGTGAGTGAGTGGGTGGTATCGCCTCGTATCTCGTCCGAGTGGCGAGCGGGACGGCCGGCTCCGCGCCACAGCCAGCCTGTCAATCTCCTTTCTAGTTTCCAGCAGGCGCGTGGCGCGGCGCGCGGGGGCCGCTTTCCTATTCTGCCACCGCCGCGCTCGCGCGCGCGGCAGGAGGAGAGCAACGACAGGCTGGTCGCATCGATCGTATGAACAAAAGAGGCAGGAGCGGGAAGGCGGGGCGGGGCGGGGGAGGAGGGGCAAGGTACCCTAATGCCCACACCAGATGGCTCTCCGACTGGCCCCGTTTTCACATTGCAGCCGACGCATCGCCACGCCACGCCCATGGGATGCCGAGAAAACGAGTCCCGCGCGCACAGCGTCGCGCGGCGGCGCCGGCTCTAGGGTGTGGCCGACTGCACGTCTTCGCCATCGTGCTCATCACCTACCCTAACCAACCCGACCTAACCTCCCCGACAAAAACGAACTCCCCTTTCCCGTGTTAATTTAACTTGACGTAACCTAACTCTCCACTTTGTTTTGTTGCAGAGCGCCGCGTCGGACGCACCCCTTCTGGACGCAGCGTCGCTGCCCCTGGAGCACAGGGCGGCGTACGGACCACCCGCAGCCCCGGTGTACGGGCCGCCGCCCCTCGGCGGGCCCGGCCCCGGGGGGCCGCTCCTCGGGGGCGGCGGGGGCGGCGGCGGCGGGGGCGGCAACGCCCTGGGCCACGGCGACGAGGCCTGGCCCCTCGCCACGCCCGACATGCCGCAGATCAAGCACCTGCAAGTGCAGTGCGAGAAGACGCACATGCGGGTCAACATCGAGTTCGACAGGCCCTTCTACGGCATGATCTTCTCCAAGGGTGAGTCGAGTCTGCGGGCCTGGGCCGCAGTCCCGGCCCAGCCAGCAACGCGGTGTCCGAATGGTCCTGGACGACAGGTTCGGTAGTCGCGACTGTGCTGTCCATAAATGTATAAGAAACAAAAAGGAAATTTACGCAAAGACAACATTTAATCATGATTTCAAGTCTTAAAAAAGTTACTTTATTTGATTTGATGTTTGGTTTTGAATCTACTAGGCCTGTTGGATCGGAATTTCCGGACTTTCGTTACAAAAATTTACATTTGACAGCGCTAAGTGACCCCGAACCTGACCGAGTCCGCGATGATTCGGACTCTGCAGCACCTGGCGGCGCAGGGGCGTGCGCCTCGTGGGCCGCCCCTGCGCCGCCGACGGTGCTCTGGCGGGCCGAGGATGCCCAGGTGTGGTGGAGTGTAGCCCTTCTTCCGTACCTATCGAGGCACTGTGCGCTTCTACTGTAGATAAAGCTTGTTTAGCCCGCGAAACCATCGGACCAGCACCCCCTCGCTGGCCGAGCTTTCGCGCAACGGCAGGCACTTGGGCGTGTGCAGCAGGGGCGCGCCAAGAAGGGGTGGGCCCTAGTCCGGAGTTGAACCCTCGCCCGTCGGACGAACGCGGCGTTCTATGAACGACTACTGTTTTCGTTCTGACGCCAAACCTGGTCAGCGACGGATCCGTCGCACACCCCTTGCACACTGCGCCTCGCTGCCACGCGCCCACTTGCCTAAAACTCGCGCGCTCACAAACCAATTTTCCTAGCTCATTAGCAAAAACTTATTTAACTTGAATTAACAATGTTTTGGGATTTTGTTCCTTCTCTTCTTGCATTTCTGTACCATCTGCTCACCCTCCGTCTCCCTCTCTCTTTCTCTCCCCCCCTCACGTTGGTTGCAGGCTTTTACAGTGACCCCCACTGCGTGCACCTCAAGCCCGGCACGGGCCACCTCAGCGCCACCTTCGAGATCTTCCTCAACTCGTGCGGCATGTCCTCGTCCGGGAACCAGCAGGGCGGCGACTACGGCGGCCACGGGCCCACGCCCTCCGGCTCGTACGTCGAGAACACCATCATCGTGCAGTACGACCCCTACGTGCAGGAGGTAACGCCATCGTCACAAACTTTTTGCGTTCTTGCCATTTCATTTTTGGCCGTCCCGCAATAATGTAACCTATTCGTCTCTCCTCAGGTGTGGGATCAGGCGCGCAAGCTGCGCTGCACCTGGTACGACTTCTACGAAAAGGCCGTCACCTTCAGGCCCTTCCAGGTCGACATGCTCCACGCCGTCACCGCCAACTTCCTCGGCGATAACCTGCAGTGCTGGATGCAGATCCAGGTACGACCCGGGTCAAACATTATTTTTCTTTTCGCAGAAGGGAGTGGTCGCGAATTATTTCCTTTCGAGCGGCGGCGAATGGAATAAGTTTTAGCCCATAGGAGTGCAGTGTTATCGTTAACGAGATTAACCCGCATCTCGCCATTATTACTTCCGATATGGTCGGCCTGCTTGTGCGGCGCGTGTGCGCGGCGGCGCGCCGGTCTGGGGAGCGACCAACTAGGGCCCGTGGGGCTGGCGTGGGCTGGCTGGCGTGCGCGGCTCTAGCGCGCCCCGGTGCGCGTCCTGGGAAGTAGGTGGGTCAAATGGCGTATGGCGTATGGTCGCGCGGTCTCGTTCTCAGACAAAGACAAAAGCTCATTTACCCGCGGCGAGGCTGGCCGCGAAGAGCACAACACACGGGTGTGCAGGTGCGGCGTGTGCCGTGTTCCGGTTGCTCTCCGCAGCATCGCCTTTATTGTCCGTCTCTTTTCAGGTCGGCAAGGGACCCTGGGCGTCCGAGGTGTCTGGCATCGTCAAGATCGGCCAGACCATGACCATGGTGCTCGCCATCAAGGACGACGAGAGCAAGTTCGACATGCTGGTGCGCAACTGCGTGGCCCACGACGGCAAGCGGGCGCCCATCCAGCTGGTGGACCAGCACGGCTGCGTCGTCAGGCCCAAGATCATGAGCCGCTTCCAGAAGATCAAGAACTTCGGCCCGTCCGCGTCGGTCGTGTCGTTCGCCTACTTCCAGGCCTTCAAGTTCCCCGACTCGATGAACGTGCACTTCCAGTGCGTTATCCAGGTTTGCCGGTACAACTGCCCCGAGCCCAAGTGCGGCGGCCACGGCCTCGCGGCCCTTGGCGGCCTCAGCTCCGAGTATGGCGCCCCCGGCATCGGCGGCCTCGGCGGCGGTCTCGGCTCCGGCGCCTCCATCTCGCACGAGTACGGCGCGCCGCCGCCGCCCCAGCTGCACGGCGACTACGGCCCCCCACCCCTCGGAGACCAGTACGGTCCCCCTGCCGCCTACCCTGACCCCCGACACCCCTCAGGTAAGCCCTTCGTCCCCATAGCGCACGGGGCCCTCATACCAACACCCCCAGCCGCACACTCACCCTTCGCTCTCTCCATTGCAGGGCCCTCCGGCGCATACTCGGAGCCCCAAGAGAACGTGGTGCCAGCCCCCAACGCCCAGGCGCAGCAGGGCGCCGCCCCCGAGAACGCCTCCACCGCCTCCGAGAAGTCATCCCAGGACGCGCAGCCCTCACAGCAGCAACAGCAGCAGACGTCGGCGGCACCGCCCCAAGGCGCCGTGGTCGCCCCCAGCGCCAGCGGAGCGGACCTCAACCTGCCCCCGCCGCCCCTGCCCGGCCAGCGCGGCACATACACCACCGTCAAGAGGAAAGGTGAGTGCACCCTCCCGCCCAAGGTCACCCCCCGCCCTCCACAACGAGTGCCTCGCACTGATCGCTTCTGTCTCCCACAGGAGGCGTCCACGACGAGCTAGAGAGCAACCTGGCCACCCTCGGCGGCCGGCCGCGCTCCGTCGAGTCGGTGCCCGCCGAGTTCGCGGGCGCGAGGAGAAGGCGCGAGACGGACAGCTTCACGCTGACGCTGGGCACGGCGCCCCGCTCGGCGCCCCGGGTGCGCGTGGCGCGCGTGCGGAGGGAGGCCGGTCAGGAGATGACCGACGTCAACACGAGCCGGACCATCCAGGTTGTGGCGCCCGGCGACGTCAACTTCGCCCTCAACGCGGGCGCCTCGTCCAACGAGACGGTGGTGATCCAGTCGGCGCAGCAGGGCAACGCCGACCAGGAGCACATCTGCATGTCGGTGCCCTCGTTCGTCGGCGGGCTCGTCATGCTGCTGCTGGTCCTGGTCGTGAGCTGCCTGGTGGCCGCCTTCCTGTTCGTCCGCGTGCGCGCCATCGACCGGAAGGGCATCACCACCACGTTCGGCGTGCTGCCCGGCCGCGGCTTCGACAACACCGAGTACGTCAAGGGCATCAACTGAGCGGGCTGCCGCCGCGCCCCGGGCTGCCGAACGGGATAGCCCGGGGGGACCACGGCAAGCCTGCAGGCGCTGCAGGCCGAGGGACGGCCCGGCCGGGGCGTGAGGGCGCGACGGACACCCCTGGGGTGCGACACCCCCAGCGCCACCGCCACGCCGAGCCACGCCCCACCCCACCACGCCACGCCTCCGAAAGGGACGCGTGTCGTCCGGCGGGGAAAATTAAAGGACACTCAGACGATTTAGTAAAGGTGGGAGTGCGACAGAGCGCGTCCAGCTGTGAGTGGGAGAGAGAAGGAAAACGAAAGGGAGAGCGAGAGAAGAGGGTTCGGAATATTGCGGACGGAGCTGTATGTGTGCAGTCAAATTCTTGACGGTTCTGACGTCACGACTTTCTTTTTACTATTTCGTCTCATGTCGGTTGTAAGTGTAGTAATTTTACTGGTACCTCGTCTGTCGCGGCGGGGTAGATCAGCGTACGTTATATTAACGGTGTACCGGGCGGAGTGTACTACTTGTCGTTGCGCTTGGAGTGGAGTCAGCTCGCCGGGCCCTCTTCTCTCAGGTTGACGAACTTGCAGAAAACCCTGGTTGGATAGCGTCCATTCTTATTTGTCTTTGAAATGGCCAAATTTAAGTTGATGGTGTGTTTGCTCAAGACGACGTGATCGGTGGTGGCTGGCCAACGGGATTTGACCGGCTGCCGCAGAGTCACCCCCCTCTCCTGAGCAAGTACACCACGACATTTGTCTTTAGGGAAGGGCTCTAGCGGTGAAACAGGTAATACGGTAAAGCAGTGTCGACAAGCGGGTGGGCTCGTCACTGCACGGCATACGCTCAGTAGGAAAGTACCAAAGTTCTCGGTACGTTACGGCGCGCCGAGGCGGCCTGAGGCTGCCCTGTTATCTCTTCTCTTCTCTTACCCGCGTTCGAAGGAACGGGAGGGCTAGTCAACCATATCATGCCTATCCGGTTCGGTCCGGGTGTTTGACCCAGTTTAACGCTCTGGTGTGTTTGGAAGGGTTCCAATAAAGTGCAGAAATCTTGTGGGGTAAAAGATGTGTCAAGTACCTGTGAGGAACTATAAAGTATCTCTACAAAACGATTCCCAGGTACAATGACACATTTGTTAAATTCGTGTACAATATTATTTGCGTGGTCATATGTAAGATGTAGTATCGTTTTTCTGGTCTCCACTTTTCTTTGTATTGATTAAAATCAACACTTTTTTGTATGAAAGAAATTACAGATGTGTGCTGGAACATACATCCTCAGTTATTGCACAGTACAGTCTATTTATAGTTTATTGTAATACACACACAATAATTGTAATCTGTGTAATTTTACAAATGTCTCAAATTTCGAAAATTTATGTTTGGACCCTCTATTCTTCCCCTCAGTGTTTGCTATTGTTGTTGTTCATGTGTGATTTATGTGATGATGTAAAGTATTATGTACACTTGTCTCTGTCTAGATATTTATTTTAAAGTAAGTTAATTATACTTGGATTAGTGTAATTTTGACAAATTAGGCAAACTTGCGATCTTGAAATTTATTATTATCCTGGCGAAAGTCCAAAAGTTGAGCAAGTTCTTATTTGTCTGTTTGAAGAAATTTTCTTCCTCTTCTCTATATTAGTTTAAGGTTATTTATGAACTTTCACTCACCTTTCATTCCCCTGCTAACAATTTTGTTCCTGTTGAATGTTGTTGTTTGATGTACTTTTGTATTTTTAGTAGACGGTTTACCATAACAGTAAATCATTCTCCAATAGTTTGACTGCGTTCTTATCTAAAAGTTAACAGATTTATACATGTGCATGTATTTTATGAAATTCATTTCTGCATTCTGTAATTTTCATGTATATTTGTATATGATTCTAGTTATCACATTTTGTCTACTGGAGTATGTAGGTATAAACCTACTACTTGTGGGTTCAAATGAATGACTTTTAATTAGAAAATGCACTACTTTGTATCATACACAACACTACAAAATTTTAGTTCCAAAGTCAACAATCAAAATGTTTTTGTAATTCGACCAGCAGTACTGTTAAAAATAAACAAGTTCTAATGTTAACATGACTTGAACAATTTATTCAAAATCGTCTCCCTGCAAGCCCTACATTAAAGATCATTTTTGCATCGCTGAATCTGGAACAAGTCAGAACATAATCCTGGGGGTACATAGGTGGTTGAATGCGTACGTTGGTTAAACTGCACTGACCCCCCAGACGCAATCGACGCAATCGACGCAATCGACGCAATCGACGCAATCGACGCAATCGACGCAATCGACGCAAACGACGCAATCGACGCAATCGACGCAATCGACGCAATCGACGCAATCGACGCAATCGACGCAATCGACGCAATCGACGCAATCGACGCAATCGACGCAATCCCCCTTTATCCCCCTTTATCCCCCTTTATCCCCCTTTATCCCCCTTTATCCCCCTTTATCCCCCTTTATCCCCCTTTATCCCCCTTTATCCCCCTTTATCCC